GAGACCTTCCCAAGATGGGCAGATTTTTCCTGCTTTAGTTTACATGTACACTTATTTTTTAAATAGCAAAACAGAGAACTAGTGATTTAATTAAATGACATTATTTTCTGCATGTTTAGTAGTTGTGTTAACGTTGTGTTTACTGAACTAGAAATGTAACAGTTTGAAGATTTTGCAGATCTGGGATCATGTTTTCTTAGTCCATGCATGAGAGAGGCTAGGAGACTGGCAGGCTTTATGGTGGAGGTGCGCGTGCCTCCCATCAGAACATATAACCCAACTGTGGATTAGGACCCTATTGTTGGACTAGAGGTGAAAGTGGCAAATGTGCAAGTTTACAGAATTTGGCATGGTATAAACTCGTGTTAGTCAAGTTGCAAAAACCTCAAATAAAGGTAGGATGGATGCTGATAAAACTCATCAGGCAAATAGGCAGCTGAACTTGAGTGTTCATGGTTTTTATAGGTGTTATAAATGTAACAAATAGGAGAAGAGAAATGGACTTCTTGGTTTTACAGACACAGAAAACATAACAGAAATTGATGGAAAGAGAACAATCAATTGGTCCTTGTCAGTATGTTAATTGTTTAAGAGCAACAAAGATATATTGTGTTAGTTGCAGTTTGTAAAACAAAACAGATTTCCAAACCCAAACAAGCTACTTCTGAGTCCTCTCAAAGTCAGATCATAAAAGTAAGTTGGTTTTTATCAGCAGCTATTATAAACTGAACTGAAATTCCATGCCTCAGTAGCAAAACATAATGCTAGACTGGTAGTAGTGACATACCAAGGAAGATCAGGAGGTCTGTGGTGTCAAAAGGAGTTATGGGGAGGATTTTGGCAACCCTCTACATTTTTGTTGAGCCTGACCTGCCTGTTGCTGTTGTGTGAGGTCTCAGCTGGAGGGAGGCTGTGGTTTTAGGTTGGTGCCACAGAGGCTGCTGGTATTTCAGCTAGTGAGCGTGAAGCGGGGATCGGGTGAAAAAATCAGAATTCAACATGACTCGTGAACTCTGTGGAAAGAGATGTACTTCTAAGTTCTTTTTCTATCCTTGCACTACAAAATGCTGCAGTTGCAGTTCTGTTCTTGGAATGAATAAATCTGATCTTCCTAATTCTTTCTTGAATACTAGGCATTGTAAGGGGAATTTCGGGCTCTTCCTATCTGCTAGGAAAGATAAATGTGTAATGGAAACTGAGAAAGGATACTGTTTGCCTGAGGCAGTACTTCTTACTCCTCTCAAAGAAGAGGGAGCTTATAACTTGAAATGGAACTCATCTTTAGATGTGTAATGAAGTTATGTTAAGAAGAAAAATGTAAATTAAGCATTTTAAGCTTTAATATGTAGGGTAAACTTTATAGAGCAAAAGCATAGCATGATTCTGAAGTAGTATTGGTGCCAACAGCTACAAAATATGTAAAACAATGCAACTACAGACAGAATAAGACTGTCTAAAGCATGGGGCTAACCAACAAAGAAAAAACACATATTATATGATGGTATGTCATGTAGTGTACTTATTTTAATTTTTTTTCCTATATAGTAATTTAAGACAGGCTGACTGCTGTATATATTCCCAAATGGGAAGAGGTGATAAAGGTGTGTGTTTGCATTAAATTTTGTACTAGAATGATAAAATCAGTCATAGAGTACTGTGTATCATAAAATGTCTTCACTGCTCTTCCTTGTTTATCTCTTTTCTGAATCTTCCTCCAGCTTAAATTATAATGAAGAAAGATCAAATAACTCATTAAGTATTGATGTTATGTATGAGAATCTTTACTCTGTATTTTAGACATAATAGTTTGAAATTAGTGATGTAAAAGACATTTACCTTTGGCACTTCTATTTTATTATTGGTTGTCCATTGTGGAAGCTATGGCTCACCACTTTTATGAGAGCATAGTGGTGATAATATACTACAGAAATTGGCAGATGACAGGCTTTGCAGATTGCCATCTTTTTTTCACATTTCAACTGAGATACATTGTTATATACTTCTATTTATTTTTATGCTACATTTTTCCCTCACACCCGCCATAAAGCTGCATAAATAATGTGCTATGATATATCACTGGTCAAAAATAAAGCAGGCTATATCTGAAAATCTACATTTAGTAAAGAAGCTTATTTAAAATATCTAATAAAAAAATGCATTTTCAGTGGTTGATAGTTAAAGTAGCAGCGCTAATGATGAAGTTGTTTGGAAATCTCCTAAGGTTTTCTCACAGTTTGTGTCTTACATCCCCTTTAGAGTAGCTGGAAGTCAAGTACTTCAGTCTTTTTTTCTAATTAATTTTCTTGGGAGGTGATTACATTGTTTCGTGTCATCTACAACAAGCTACCTCCCCTGTTTTAAGAATTACCATGGAGTCCACTTGAAAAACAATATAAATACTCCAGAATATATTAAAAAAAAAAAATACTGTTGCTGCTTAGTTATTAAGAAAACCACAGTCTCTCAGTTCTAGTTTGATGTACTGAAGTATGGAGGTTTCTGTACATAAAGCTCAATTATAACTAAAATGTTTAGGACACTAAAATGTTTGAACTGAATGAACTGATACTAATTAGATTACTGTTTAGAACCTGGCTTTCTGAGTTCTTTGTCAATGGCAGGGTCTTTATTATTATAGAGTAAATAATAGTGAAATTGTGTTTTTGGTTTTTTTCTGTACAATTTTATTAATTATTTTACGGATACGGACTAGAACATGTCAGAATTTTTAGAAAGAGTAATTCATTGGAGGATACAGATGAGAAATGATTTTTAGCTTCTTTGTGTGCAGACTTTTCCTAATTGAAATAAAGTAAAACAACTTTGAAAAAATTCATTATCTACAGTGCTTTATTATTACTGGCCACAGAGTATTTTTTTTAAATAGATGCATCTAGGAATCAGAATTATTTTAATAAAATTGTTATCAGGTTTGTAATTAATTTATGTTTATTCCTGTTTTTTTTTTTGTTTGGTTGTTTTTTTTTTTTTCCCCTAAAATATATTTTAGAACATAAAAGGTGGTAAGAGTCTGCCAAATAAGAGAAGCGCTTCAAAGAGATAAATGCAATTGTTCCAGGACCTGGCAGCTATAACCAAGCTTCTACAATGGAACTGACTAGAAATAGCAAAAGTCAGAGAGTCCAAAGAGCATAGTCAGCTGGCATGTTAATTTTAAATGTCTGTGTAATGTTAATTTCCTTTTTAAAAAATGATCAAGCATATTACTGAACACTTGTGACAACACTTTATTATGCTAATATTCTGAAAAGCTAAGCCATGCCGAGTGCAAAATTGATTTAATATTTGCACATTCAAGCTTGTGTTCACAGTAAGCAAAACCTTCTTTAAAAAACACCCCAAACAAACAACAAAAAAACCACAACGAACCAAAATGAAACTGCTGAGTATTTTAAAGATACTGGAATGTAGTTTTCTTTGTATGTCATCTGTAACCCAACAGATCCAAACAAAAATCTAGCTACTAATGCTGATATATAACAGAAGTTTTGTACTTTGTAGAGAAATGGATTTTTGGAGTTTAATTTGCAGTAGATATGGAAGCTAAATAAGTGGCTGAAATTTTTCACATTGCTAAATGGCAGGTAGGCCAGGGTGCTGGTACCATCTAGTGGTTACAAATGGCCTAATGCTGTTAGGCGTTCTTGAATGTGATGAGTGAACCAGAATGTAACATTGCTATTTTTGAGTTGGTTTAGAGGGAGGATTAGTAATCCAGTTAGCTGTACCCCTCCACGATTTAACTGGTGTATGCTTCTGTAAAAGTGTGACACAGGTAACTAAAGTTGATGTCGTTTGCCTTTGCATGTGATGCTGTAAAATTGCTGTGGGATTACCTACTGGCTCTGTAGTAGTCTGAGATCTTGAACCTCTAACTGTAAAGTGAAAGTGTGGGATAGTTTTCTTTGTTTGTGTGGTTTTGTTTGTTCTATAATATAGGCTATTTGGTTATTTTGGGGATACCCATTTTCAGTTCATTTACAATGAGTAAAAATGTCTGGATAATTTATTTTAAAATGTACATATAAAAATATATATAGATATATGTATTTAAATGTATTTATTTTTAAAGGTTTTTTTAGAGAGAGCTGTAGACTCCATAAAAATCTGCTTAAAGGAGGATGATCCCTCTATTCCTTCTCCTGGCCAGACTTTTGGGTACAAGGAAGGTGAGGATGACACTCAGAAAACAGTACCCACCTCAAAGGTGCGACACTGGGTTCAGTTTGCATTTGGGTACTGTTTGTAAGTATCTTATAATGACTCCCACATCACTGAAGATAAAACAAGAAAATAATGTGGTGGTTTTGTTTCTTTTTGTAAAAAAAACCCCCAAAAACCAAACCAACCCCCAAACAATACTTTCCCTCCTTCAACAATCACAAAATGTTTTCCTGTTCTTTTTTTCTTCTAGAATAAGAAAAAATGGAACTGGTACCACTAAACTCCTGAATCTCTAGTGGGATGTTTCTGGAGGATTTGGGTACAAATCTAACAAAATCTCACCTGCTTCACTACTTTAGCTAAAAGACTAGGAAAAAACCCCTGTACCTCTGAAAGAGTTATCACTGCCTTTTCTTCTTCAACAGAAAGGTAGTGTTAAAAGCATATGGCGATTCTGCAAGTGATACTGGAGAGGCTTAACATGTAGAGGCTGTGAAGAAACCTGCTTACTCTTTATTACAGTAATTACTTTCCTAAAATAACAAAGATGAGAAAATTGATTTAAAGAATTCAAGTATGTCTGTGATAATTTTTTTTTTTTTAATTTCCTTTTAAATTTTTTGTGACCTACAGTTAAGAAAAAAATTTTGCCAAAACCTGGGAAATTTTATGGGAATATTTGTGAATAAAAATAAAATGGTGACAAAGATGTATTTTATGGTAGGAGTTGGGATATGTACTATATTAGTATCAAATGATTTCAATTCAGTTGTTTATTCTGTGATTATTTTTTTTTTTTTAATGAATTTTTAAGAAGGGAGTAATGGGAAAACAACTCAGTTGTTGACATTTTTGCCTTTAATTGAAAGGGTATCGTTGTAGGTCAGGATAGTGATGTGTTATTTTTTTTTTTAAGAGGTACTTCATTGTATGAGGAATTTCATTGTGTGACTCCTGCTAACAGAATAGTTGACAAAAAATGCTAATTTCAAAGTGTGTAGATTACTCTTTACTCATCTTTTCGTACTGTTTGTATTTTTGAGTTCTAGCTCAACTTACTGCTTATCGAAAGAATATTTTAAAATTTTCATACCATTAAATGAGTCTTAGAGCTGAAAGGCTGTAAATCTACATCACAAAAACAGATGTTCTTTTAATTATGAGATGACTTTCTACTTCAAAACCATTCTGAGATGTGACAGATTCAGATTCTGTCATGTGGATTATAACTCTTGTGTTCTGTTGTGAGATGTAATTTTTACAATATTGTAATAAACAGTGTGTTCTTTAATATTTCTTCACATCTTTTCAAGCAAATTGCACGTTAAAGATATACATTTGAAAGGCCTCAGTAGCTACTATTCACTGTTCCTTATTACAGGTGATTCTGCAGTAGCAACATCAGCTATATACAGCATTTATGACAGAGGGGATGCTTGAGCAATACTAATTGCATACAGTGAATTATGGTTCAATATTAAACAAAAAAAAAGAGAATTATTAATTACTACTTTTCAGTTACTAGTTTCCCCTGTAATTATTTTTTTCCAAGAAATGCATTAGGGGGCGGTAGAGGCATTTAGTCGATCCACATTGCAACTATTTCTAAGTATTTCATGACAGCACTTCAGTATCCAGCATTTTTGTTAGGCATCATGTTTTCTGTGAATGCTATTGCACAAATACAAGGCATCATGTTTTCTAAACACTGAATAAGCAAAATGAATAGTCTACAAGTTAAACGTGTAGTATCTGTGTAGTTATTTGTAATTGTAGTTACACAAATGGAGAACTAAGGCAAGGAGGTTAAACGGTATACTGAAAAGATGTTTGGGAACATGAGAATTTGTCTGATTTCTAGATTTAAATGATTTTAGGTAGCATTTTAGCTACCTGTATGCTTTATCTTTCAGGAACGAAGAGACCAAAGGCCAAGAGAAATGACAGAAGGTAAAACTGAAGTTTTTATTCAAAATTTTCTTTTACATAATTTATTCAGAAACAATTTTTGAATTATAGATTTAACTGATAGTGTTAAGAGAGCTTTTCTTTAGAAGTTAAAATGCTTTTGTGTTAAGTAATGTTGACCATTTTATCACTGTTAAAAATCTAACTGGAGTATTTTGTTCCATATTCTGGTGTGAGTGCCCAAGAATTTCAGAACTCTTTGCATCCATACAGAACTCTCAACCAAATTCCTCTGTAAATACTATTACTGTTGTTATAGAATAAATATGACCAAATACTAGTACAATGGAGCTTAAAGAAACTCTGTAAGAAGAGCAGGAAATGTCTGTCCAATCTGGGGTCCTAGAGACTGCAAGATATCTTGATCTTCCACTGTGACAGCTTTCATTCAATTTATGTTCAAGACTGGTGTTATTTAAAGAAGGCTGACTACGGTACGTATTCTACATAAAAGGGTAAAAAACCCCAATAAAGCTCTTTAAGGACTACTATTTGCCTATTATATTTATATCTTGAATTTGATGGAAAAATTAAGACTTTCAAGGACAAAGAAGAGCTTTGTTTCTGTCAAAGGAAATAACACCTTCATGGGAAAAGACAGGCGTCTTTCATGAGTGTAATTGTTAGTTTCTATTTTAAGTAACTGACCCATAACCGGAGCAAAGTGTTTGAGTGGCGAAGTACTTTCCTAAATCCTTTCTGTAGATTATCTAAGTACTGACTGCCCTATCTCTACCTACCTTTCTTTCTTATGAATAAGTAGTAGAAAAATTGTAGTATCATCTTGTTTGGTCTTGATTTGTCTGGGTTTTTTTTTTTTTTTTTTTGTCTAGTTCCTCTAGATTTTTCTTTTTGCATCTTGGATTCATTTCCCTGTTTTAGTCAGGTTTTGGAGCTGGATACAGCATAGAAATACTGGTCACAGTTTGAGATAATATTTTTAAAGTAGTTAAAACTAAGGGTTAGAGGGGAAAACATTGATGTGATTTATTAGAGGCTATTTATTCGTATGTTGAACCTTTTTTTTTCCCCGTATGTATGTGTTGGTTTTAATGAAATATTTTTCTTGATATGTTTCTGATTCCACTGAGTAGAGATTATCATGCTTGAGTCTGGTTATCCTCATGCTTCTCTTAGAATGGGACAATTTTTCATCAGTTCTGAGGACTTGTGAATTGACCTTGTCTAGATGTGAGGTGCCCACCAAATCTGCTCTATCACTCCCCCCTGCTCAACTGTATAGGGGAGAGAGAATACAACATAAGGCTTGTGAGTGAAGATAAAGACAAGGAGATACTGTTGACTAGTTACTGTTGTGGGCAAAACAGACTCAACTTGGGAAAAGTAATTTAATTTATTGCCAATCAGAGTAGGATAATGAGAAATAAAACAAATCTTAAAACACCTCCCCCCCACCCCCGTCCTCTTGGGCTTAACTTTATTTCCAGATTCTTTACCTCCTCCCATCCAGTGGCACAGGGGGATAGGGAATGGGGTTTGCAGTTAGTTCATCACATGTTGTTTCTGCCACTCCTCCCTCCTCAGGGGAAGGATTCCTCACACTCTTCTCCGGCTCCGGTGTGGAGTCCCTCCCACAGTAGACAATTTTTCACAAACTTCTTCATTGTGAGTCCTTCCAATGGGCTACAGTTCTTCAGGAACTGCTCCAGTGTGGGTCCCTTGCATGGGTTATGGTTCTTCAGGAAAAGACTGCTCCAGCATGGGTCACAAGTCCTGCCAGGAAACCTGCTCCACTGTGGGCTCTTCTCTATGGGTTCTGCCATGAGCCTGTCCTAGCATGGGCTCTCTATGGGCTCACAGCCTCCTTCAGGCACATCAGCCTCCTCTGGTGTGGGGTCCTCCATGGGCTGCAGGTGGAGATCTGTTCCACCGTGGACCTCCACGGGCTGCAGGGGCACAGCCTGCCTCACCATGATCTTCCCCAGGGGCTGCAGGGGAATCTCTGCTCAGGTGCCTGGAGCACCTCCTCCCCCTTCTTCACTGCCATTGGTGCCTGCAGGGCTGTTGCTTTCACATATTCTCACTCCTCTCTCTGGCTGCAATTGCTCTCACACGGTATTTTGTGGTGGTTTTTTTTTTTTTTCCCCCCCCTTCTTAAATTAGGTGCTACCACTGTTGTTGATGGGCTCAGCCTTGGCCGTCAGCGGGTCTGTCTTGGAGCCGGCTGGCATTGGTTCTGTCACACACAGGGGAAGCTTCTGGCAGCTTCTCACAGAAACCACCCCTGTAGCACCCCAGCTACCACAACCTTGCCACACAAACTCAATACACTTGCTTGCAAGGTTATACTTCATAGTGGAAAACCTGCTACAGATGCACATTTCTCTTAATACTTATTATAGGATCAATGGGATCAGTGAATACTTTGTGGATATATATGAGGAATAACAGCCATCAGGTGTATCAGAGACACACACTAACAAAATAAAACTAAAGCATTATGATCCTCAGGAGAGAAAGGGCTTTCAAATACTCTGATAACAATTCTGTCTTCTGGGGGCTTTTGACAGTGCTTTCTAGTTAGCAAAGCACACCTGATTATGTGTATGGTTCAATATAAATTTGCTTATATAAAAACAGTACATAAGCTTTAATAATGAGTTTTCACAGCTAAAATGTAATAGCGCAAGAAGCAACATGAAAACCAGATACGATATGTAAGTTCATAAGTGGATAATAAACTATTTTGAGTGTTCTTTCAGCACTTGCAACAGCTGTTTTGACCTTATATTTTTCCTAGAGAAGTGACGGAGTGTGTGTTGTAACTGTTGGGTAGAATCTTTATTTTTATTTTACACAACCACTATTTTTAGGTCGGAGCTCCCTCATTGTGCCTTCAAAGCCCAATCCACTCATCTAATATTCCTCAGGTTGCTACTTTTTTCTTACTATGGATACATATTGTAGATAAGCAATGAATTCCCAAAGCACACTTTCACTGTCAAACAAATAGGCCTTAGTCCAGCAAAGCACTTAACTGTGTATTTAACTATCAACATGTAACCATTCGATTGCAGTAGGACTGCTTACGTGTTTTAAACTATGGACATGCAGAAGTGCTTTAGTGGACTGGTGCCCACATGTAATGCCAATCAAGAGCAATAAATTTGTATTATGAGGAGCTAGGACCTCCAATATAGATCTGCAAAGTCTTAAATATTAAAATCCTACTTTTAATGCAAATATTTTAGATATTCAAACATATGCACTCTATAAATACCAGAGAGTTTGTTTTAAATAACAGCTGTTGCTGTTCACTTGCTCTTATGGTGAGTATTACTATGCTTTGATAGATTGTCAGTTGCTTGGAAAATGTGTAAGGACTGGTGTGTCACAGAATCAACTAGGTTGGAAAGGACCTTGACGATCACCTAGTCCAACCATTAACATAACACTGACAGTAATTACACCATATCCCTCAGCGCTATGTCGACCTGATT